GTGTGCCCCGAGCCCCGTGTGCCCCGAGCCCCGTGTGCCCCGAGCCCCCGTGTGACGCGAGCCCTGGCCCCACAGATGTGGACGAGTGCGCCCAGAGCCCGGGCGTCTGCGGCCGGGGGGTCTGCGAGAACCTGCCCGGCGCTTTCCGCTGCGTTTGCCCGGCCGGCTTCCGGGGCGCCGCGTGCGAGGAGGACGTGGATGAGTGTGCCCAGGACCCACCGCCCTGCGGGCCGGGCCGCTGTGACAACACGGTGGGCTCCTTTCACTGTGCCTGCCCCGCCGGCTTCCGCTCCCGGGGGCCGGGGGCCCCCTGCCAAGGTGAGGGCCCTCAGCTCCAACCAGCTCCCCCCGTTTTCGGTGGGGGCTGGGGAGAAGCATGACTGCGGGTGGAGGCAGGGAGCGGGGGTCAGCGATGAGGACGAGGGCAGGGGGTGGTGCTCGCCGCCCTGTCACTCTTGTGCTCTTGGGGCCTGCGGAGGGACAACCGAGCAGGGCAGTATCTGCGGCAGGAGCTTGTCCTCCCGGAGGAGGGGTCAGCCAGGCAGACTGCAATGCTGGGGTGGGTGGTGATGGCCGCGGGGATGGGCCCCGCCCCTGCTCCAGTCCCTCTGTCCCCTCTGTCCCCTCTGCCCAGACGTGGACGAGTGTGCGCGGAGCCCCCCGCCCTGCGCCTACGGCCGGTGTGAGAACACCGAAGGCAGCTTCCAGTGCGTCTGCCCCACGGGCTTCCAACCCAGCGCCGCCCGCTCCCAGTGCGAGGGTGAGGCCCGGAGGCAGGGAGGGCCCCAGACGGTGAGGGGGCGTCGGACCCTCCTTCAAGGCCACCCTCTGCCCTGCCCCCAGATGTGGACGAGTGCGAGAACCACCTGGCGTGTCCCGGGCAGGAGTGTACGAACACACCGGGCTCCTTCCAGTGCAGGGCCTGCCGGGCTGGCTACCACCTGCAGCGCGGCCGCTGTGCTGGTGAGACCCGGCCCCGGCCGTGCCCCGGGCCTGCGCCGTGCCCCCGACCCCGATCATGAGCCCTGCTCCACACCACAACACTGGCCTTCCCATAAGCGCCTCACCTGGACCTCAGTCCTGCCGAGCCTGACAGGGATCGTGGCCGAGATGAGGGCCCCAAGTCAGACTGCAGTTCCTGACCTGGACCAGGAGCCCTTGACCCTGACGGTGACTTCTCGTTTGGTGATCCGGAGGCCCTCAATGTCACTGTGACATTGGACCCTAGCCATGGTCCCTACTGATAACCCTTGACCCCAACACTGATGGCCGTGGTGAGCTTCCTGATGCTGTCTCCTGACCCTGAATGTGACTGTGACCTCTGAACTTGACTGTGACGTTTGACCTACCCATAACTCCGGGTGACCCTTGATCTTACCTCTTTCACTGCCCCAGCCCCTTTCCAGAGACCCTTCCTTAGGGCTTAAATGGTCTCATGATCCTGAGACCTCCCCGGCCCTCATGGATCTCAGAATCTAGCCACTGACTCTGACCCCTACTTTCTAATGCCTGGCCCCTCACCCTAATACATTTCTGACCTGCCCCAGTCGCTATATCTGGCCTTGGGTGCTGAGCACAGGGTAACTCTCAGAAATCCAGACCCCTGCTGGCGCCCCGGAATGGGGGGACCTTGGTGTCTCCTACCCACTTCTCCCATCTAGTCTTCATCTCATACCCAACTTAAGACAGCTCTCACCACCTCGAGGCCTCTGCCCCAGGCCACTGGGCTCCAGGCCAGTGTGTCTCTAGCCTGTTCCCTCTGAAACCGTTCCCACAGATGTGGACGAATGCAGTTCGGGCTCCTCCTGCGGCCCTCATGGCCACTGTACTAACACCGAAGGCTCCTATCGCTGCAGCTGCTCCCCGGGCTACCGGGCGCCCGCTGGTCAGCCCGGGCCCTGCGCAGGTGGGCAGCGGGAGACCCTGGAAGCAGGTCCTGGGCTCGTGGACCACGTCGGGTGGAGGGGCGGGTGGCAGCTGGACTGAAGCTGTGGGTGGGCGGGGCTTAGAAACCGGCCCTGTGGGCGGGGCTTGTGTCTCGGGGGCGTGGCCCGTGGCCCCTGCCCCAGCTCTCCTGTACCCCAGACGTGAACGAGTGCCTGGAGGGTGACTTCTGCTTCCCCCACGGCGAGTGCCTCAACACCGACGGCTCCTTTGCCTGTACTTGTGCCCCGGGCTACCGACCCGGGCCTCGCGGAGCTTCTTGCCTTGGTCAGTATCCAGACAGGCCCGGGGCAGGGTCGGCTTTTACCTGAAAAACGCATGACAAGACAAGGCATAACGGGGAGGCTGAATTTTTGGCCCTGGTCTTCTAGCATCGTTTGCGGAGGGCGTGGGAGACCCATGGGGGGACCCAGGAGGGGTATGCAGAGCCTGTCGGCCTGGAGGGAGGGTTTGGAGGGGTCCGAGGGGGAAGGGCGGAGTCCGGATAGCTTGAGACCCGACCTTTGACAGTGGGGCTTGCAGGGGAGGGAGGAGCCTAAGGCCGGTGCGGAGGGGAGCCTGAGGGGTGCGGAGCCCAGGGTGGCTTGGGCGCAGGAAGAGGCCGGGGAGGGGGAGGAGGTGGTCCGGGTTCCAACGCTGTCGCGCAGATGTGGACGAGTGCAGCGAGGAGGACCTTTGCCAGAGCGGCATCTGCACCAACACCGATGGCTCCTTCGAGTGCGTGTGTCCCCCGGGGCACCGCGCCAGCCCAGACCTCGCCTCCTGCCTGGGTGAGGGCCCGCTCGGCCTGCCGCCCTCCCCCTCAGCCTTCTGGTCCCCCGTAGGTCTCCTGTCTCTGCCCCTTCTCCGCTGCCACATTTGCTTCCGCTGCCCCGCTTATTTTCTCGGGGATCTCTCCTCCTTCCTTCCTCTTAGCCCGCTCGCTGCCCCCACCTCCATCTTGCACTACTCACTCTTCACTCCTCGCTGTCTCCTTTGCCCTGCTGCTTCTGCTCCCCGTGTGACTGCCCTGCCTCACCCCTCAGATGTGGACGAATGTCGCGAGCGGGGCCCGGCCCTGTGTGGGTCCCAGCGCTGTGAGAATTCCCCCGGCTCCTACCGCTGTGTCCGGGACTGCGACCCTGGCTACCATGCCGGCCCGGACGGCACCTGTGACGGTGAGCCCGCCGCCCGCCCCTGCCCACCCCCGCGGCTGTTGAAGGTCTCCCCCACGGGGGTCTGTGGTGGAAATAAGCCACCCGTGATGGGAGGAAGACGCCTGTCAGGAACCAGGCCAGGGCTGGTCTCCGGAGCAGCCGGTGCAGTTCTCATCCCCTTCAGCCCACCGGTGGGTTAAACAGTTGCAACTTCTAAGGCCCTTGTCTTGGAGGTGCCTTCCTGTGGCCAACCCACTTTCTCTCCACCTCTCCAGATTCTGACCTCGCCTCTGTACCTCTGGCCTACACCTGGCTCTTGTATGCATCAATTAATAAAACAAAAACATTTTAAAATTTATTTATGCATTCAAGAGCTGGGTACAGGCCAGAGGTGTGGGTGCAGGGATGGTGAGAGGACTCACCAGAGACAGAGCGGGGAGCAGAACAGGCAGATGGAGGAAGTCCACTGCTGAGGGGAGCAGCGGGGAGACAGGAGAGGTCTGCTGCACCATGTGGGTCACCTCCCTGGATGAGGATTGAACTCACGCTGCAGTGGCTGCAGATAGCTTCATATTGCTGTGCTTTAACCCTTGTGCCACCAGGAAGAGCCCAAATAAATCTTTAAAAAAAACAACCAGCACCCTGGAATGGCAGGAGGGAGGGCCCTGCCGATAGCGGAGGGAAGCGTGTCCTGGATGGAAGCAGTAGCAAGTGCAGAGATGCGGGGGGCCGTGGGCTACTTGAGAAACGACAGTGAGGCCCCCAGTGTTATCAACACTTTCAGTCTTTAGAGCTGAGCTGCCGAGAATTCCAGATTCACAGAGAGCTGGGCGAGTGTCAGGAATGAATCAGGTCCTCCCTCCCCCGCACACCCTCCCGCAGACGTGGATGAGTGCCTGGAGTATGGCCCAGCGATCTGTGGCGCTCAGCGCTGCGAGAACACCCCTGGCTCCTACCGCTGCGTACCGGCCTGCGACCCTGGCTATCAGCCCACGCCAGGCGGGGGATGCCAAGGTGGGTGTCCCTGGACACGGACGGGGGAGCAGGGCCGGAGATGTGGCGGGGCACCAAGCCCAGCCCTGGCCCGACCGCCTGACTCTCCTGCAGACGTGGATGAATGCCGGAACCGCTCCTTCTGTGGGGCCCACGCCGTGTGCCAGAACCTGCCTGGCTCCTTCCAGTGCCTGTGTGACCAGGGCTACGAGGGGGCGAGGGACGGACGTCACTGCGTGGGTATGGAGCTCCCGGGGCAAGGGAGCAGAGGGTGGGGAGACATTGGCCAAGCCCTGCTGCTGTCCAGAGACCTGAGCAAATGCGACCTTCAGCACTGTGCCACTTAGATTTGCAATATCAGCTCATCTCCTGTCAGTCAGGATTGTCCGGTTGCAAGCAACAGAAACCCCGTGCAGTTTAATGAGCGGAAAGGCCTGTATAAACTATGCAATAAACACTAGTCTTAAGGATATGTGAACACTTCCCCCAACATTCTATGCGGGAAATTTTGAACCATACAGCACTTAGGATGAGTCCTGCAAGCCCAGACTTACACTTTATTATCATCTTATTATACTTGTTTTTTTCACATCTCTATGTATCTTCCTAATTTGGGGGATAGACTTAAAATTGGATTACAGGCATCAAGGCTTCCCCCTGAATTCTTCAGTATGCTTATCATAGACCAGAGTCCAACAGGTCTTGACAAGTTACTTTCATTTGAAGTTCAGTGTAGAGACAGTGAAATCAAGGATGTTGATTATACATGCTCTAAGTTTTGACAAATGCAAACACAACAGGTTTTATTCTGAGCATTAAAACTTGAAGTGCTGGGATCTGTTTGCACTGACTGGATGCAGAACCGCCAGCTGCTGTCCTGCTGTTATTTTCAGGCACAGCTTGGCAGTGCTTTCTCTGTTGCTTCTAGCGAAGTCCTAGACTGGCTTTGATCACCCCAGCTTCGGCACTACCTGACTTTGAGCCAGAGAATGCAGTGATTTTATTGGCTGAGCTGGGACGTGTGTACATCCAGGGGTGCGATAGTGGTCCTGCTGGAGACAGTTTGAGAATGGAGGAGCAGAGGGCCTCCAAGGAAAACCGAGTGTCTGTCGCCAGACAGAAGATTGGAGGACAGAGTCTGGGCCATTACAAATAGCCATTATATTCTTTTCCTTTAAAATACTCTTTGTATTTGAAAGCTCAAGCCTTTAGAAGTCTGCAATCCACAGAAGGTTACAACTTTGACTCTCTTTCCCCTGTTGTCTCCCGCTCACAGATGTGAATGAGTGCGAAACACTGCAGGGTGTGTGTGGCACTGCCCTGTGTGAGAATGTCGAAGGCTCCTTCCTCTGTGTCTGCCCCACCAGCCCTGAGGAGTTTGACCCCATGACTGGACGCTGTGTCCCCCCCCGGACTTCTGCTGGTGAGACTGATGTCAGTGTCTATTTAACTGATGGCTGCTGGCCCTGCAGAAAATCCCTGTGGCCCAGCCATTCCTGCTATGGACAACTATATCCAGTTAAGCGCTGTTATTTGAAAGAGCAGAAAACTTTAGAGCACATGGGTTAACCTGGGGAGTGGGACACATTCAGGAGAATGACCCTAGATCCTGGCCTTGACCTTACCTGCATTCAGCCAATGTTCATGGGGAATCTACTCTGTTCAGGCCCTGTTCTGGGTTCTGGCAACACAGTAGTAACAGGAAACACCAGTTAGTCTTCAAGAGGTTCATTCATAGTCCAGTGAGCGCAGACAGATGTATCCCCAGATTGTAACAACCAGAGAAACCAGGGCTGGACAGATGAAGCACAGGCCAGAAAGAACAAGGCTGCGGTGGAGAGAGATGAGAGGGTGGGAATCCTGCCTCAGCCTGAGAGGAGAGTTCCGGAGGGCTTCCTGTAGGAGGTGATGTCTGAACTGAGAGCAGTAGGATGGGTAGAAATGAGCTAGTTAAAGGGGCAAGGGAGGGTATTCTGAGCAGAGAACATAGCGAGAGCAGAGGCCTAGCATGTTTGAGGAACTAAGCTCAGGGAGGCATGATTGACAGAGCGATGGGAGGCAGGGTGGGAGAGAAGAGGGTCCAGGAGGCATGAGCCAAGTCATACTGACTTAACTTTGTTAGGAGGTGGCCTGTATCTGAGGGCATTCTGGCACCATGGAGGGCTTTGGAGGGTGCAGTCAAAATTTGAAACCTCTTCTCTCTTCCATGTGAAGGTGGATCTGAGGGGGTCGGGGCAGGTACTGCTGGCCGAGAGGCAAGGGCCATGGAAGGGAGAAGGGGGACCACCCAAGAGGCCAGGTTGTGAGGCTGCCTGGGTCGGGGCAAGGTGTCCAGGATGAGGCCTAGGTTTGGGGATGAAGGCCACTGTGTGACATGACGGCTGTGAGGA